ACTTGCACTAACAGACTAGAACACAATCTTCAAGTGTGTGCGTAGTGTTCAATTTTACTTTAAACAAACAGACCAGAATAAAATGTCCAAAATTACCAAATGTGCATTTTGCATTGGATATAATTGTGGTCTGTGTTTTCTGAAATCATTTCAGTAACAAAATTTTCTGTTAACTTTTAAGAGGACTCTTTGGTTTCAGGGAGGTGGTCATTCTGTTTCTCAGTCCAGATGAAAGCTGTCCGCAAACAGAAAATATTATTTCTACAAAGCCTTGAGATGCAGGGGCACAGACCGAATCTATTGCAACAGGTGCAAGCTTTGGATACACAGCTACCCGTCCTTGCCAGTACTCTAGTGGCCTGACTCCAATGTTGTCTCGCTTCACTTCATCTAGGTGTTTTTGCATTTCATGCACTGCACTGCCAGAGTTATCAACTGGATTCGCCTGGTTAGTAGTGCTGAAGATCTTTATAGCGAGGAACGAGTATTTCTGAAGGGTTTTGTCGGTGCCTCCAGAAGTTGATAGTAGTTCACATGCATCATCTGTCATTGTGGCTGAAGTTTGGCTATATCTTAAAGCTTGATCTGAGATACATATCTCTGCTGCTCTCTTTAGATGCTGCATCTCTGGAGATGTAAGAGCTAGGGAGACAGACTGGTCCATAAGAGATGCTGAGCCTCCTGTTGGATCAAACTTTGCATGTGTAGGATCAAGTATGCCTGCAAAGCGTTGCCGCATCGACCTCAGAAGGACTTGAACAGTTTGCTTTTCCATGGTAGTCTGCTGCTACTTCAGATAGGGACTGGCTATCTGTCGGAAGTTGATCAGTGTGTGTAGAAAATGGTTCCAGTAGTTTAATGAGATTCCATTAACTTTGTCCATTCACTGCTCAAAAGAATGTCAATCCCAAGCTCTTCTAGGATTTTATTGAGAGTAGGTCTGGTTTCAAATTAGTCTTTTGATCATTTCAAACGAACTATTCCACCGTGTGTGCCAATCCCGGATCAGTGTTCGTCCACACCTTTAAAAAAATAAATAAATGTAAGAATAACATCTTTCCCCTATACAAACTAATGCCTGTCTAAGGTCTTTTCTGATGCGTATCAGTTATTGTATTAACTTTTTAAACTTTAAAATGATTTAAGCAACTTAAGTAAATTTATGTTATCTGTCAGATTGAGTGTTGTGTGCCTGTGCGTAAAATCTGGCAATAATGGTTTTTGAGGACACTTTGTGTATGTTACATTTTGAATTAGTATTAACAAGTGTATTATGCTATGAATGTGGTTTATGAGGACACCTCAAATGTCCTCTGTGGAGATGGATGGGTGTGTGGTTGTTTGTCTAGATTAAATTAAAACCTGGATTTCATCGTCTCTAACAGTTGTCTGCTCTTGTTACAGCGAATGCAGAGGGATGAAATATAGTTACAGCGATGAGGGATGAAATATAGTCTATGGAGAGTCCTCATAATCCATAAATGCCAGTTTGTGGGTGTGTATGTGTAAGAAAGTTAAAGCTGCAGTCCGCAGTTTTTCCTCTTTGTCACCGTCTCTGTTCGAAATCTGCAATTGACCTTTCGCTGGCCCCTCCCCCAAAACGGCCATTGTCCAATCACACATCATAGCAACCGTTACTATGTGAGCAGGTCCGTCAAACATTGACTCCAAGCAAGATGGTGAAGCGGTGCAGACAGTTTAGAGGAGTGCACGTTCGCAGCGGGGAAAGCATGAAGCTTACTTGACAACATCAGTTCATATATCAATATCGTAACGAATAGAAATAACCTTAAATAATGTATGGTTATCTGCATCTTTCCGTCTCTTATGTATAGTTACTTTTTATACACGAAAATCGCATTCAGCATGACACGCAAGCGGTTGCCGTGGTAATGAACAAACCGCTTGTTAAAGCAAATGTATAATCCTGTATCTGAGGCAAAATTAGTAAATATGCAGTGCCAGTTATATATTTCTAACTCCAAACAATAAGCCACTGAACCAGTTTATAAAATCTTCTTCAAGGCTGTGCTGGTTGCATTTGAGGTACAGGTCATGGGGTTTCTCAGATTTCGCTTGAGACCGGTATAAGCATTCGCCTCGATAGTAGTCGTGTCTCCTTCATTGCGTATTTTTATATTTTGAATATATCCCTCCACTGTATACTGTAACCCCTTTTGCCTCGATCTGGAGGATATCGCTGAGGTATTGCTCCAAAAAAGGTCACTGACACGCACGGGTATATACCTCTTCCCGTCATGGCAATCTGTCGCGCTGGTCGTGTTTGACCATTTGTTTGAGGGGCGTAGTAACAATAACTAGGGGGCGTGGCTTTTGTGAACGGTCAATTGCAGTCATTCGCGGAATTATCAACTTTACGTGAGTTGTACTTCGACACCCTCGACACGGCACAGCGCGGATGAACACAATGTTTGAGGAGAGTGTGAGGCTGTCAGTCTCCGCGCCGGTGTCGATACTGGCATTCAGAATCACAGATTATTCTTTTTGGAAGTATAACCAACATAATAATTTTCACCGGAAAATGTCATCTGAACAAGTAAGTAACATCCACTTTTGTTCTGGTTCTGACATTGCAGTAAATCGCGCTGATTAAATCTAACGATCGCTTATCATATCACGCAAAACCGTTCAAATTATACTTTGTTCTCAAATTGTTAATGTTCAACGTCAGCATTGCCTGACTACATGTAATGTCCTTCCGATATTATCCTTGTTTTCGCATGGGTCCGGTTAAAGTCTCTTTCTCTCTGTAGCTACTCCGAAGTCCAAACGAAGTATTTTGCATTTTACAGCGGGTGAATCTGTTGTCACTGGTGATTTGTCTTTTGAACCTTTCTGGATCCGCCATCAAATTGATAAGTTTAATTAAATCAAGTGCTGTGAGAAAAGGCTATAAATCTCCACCTCCAGCATCCTCACACGCAATATAGCCTACTAGCCGAGACTCTTCTTTATGTGTACAGATGTGTGACGTAATTTTCTATGGACATTTTAACCCTACAAATGTAATCTCACTGCATGACAAATAAAGATAAACATTAAAATTTGAATGCAATTAATAAAAAATAAATGTAAAAAAGCAAAAAAACGTACCTTGATCCTCATCAGCAACCCACTCATCCTGGGAGTCTGATTCAGATTCAGCAGAATCCATGTTATCCGAAGCATCATACTGTGCTGTGCTGTCGCTGTGTGCTTTTTCTAGAAGCTCCACGGCTTTGATCGTGTTTGAGCCATTATCCGTTACAATGAGCAATATTTTGCTCTCTGGAATACCCCATTCGTCCAGGGTGCTTTCGATGCAATTGGCTATTGCTTCTCTGGTGTGTGGATGGCAAATGCGATGTAAATTTAGCAAAGCATGCTGCGATTTGATTCAATGGGCAATGGTAAAAACATGCAGAGATACCCAAAACCGAAGCAGTCAAACCATTTTTGCTCCATCCATCTACACATATAGTGACTTTGGGGGTCTCAGCATTTCTTTTACTCGCTAGGATGCAGTTTGCATTTTTAGCGCAATTAAGGCATTGATCCGTGCAGCACTGAGTGACGAATCTGCGGTCATTAAAAGTTTTGAAAGCTACCGAATCACACAGTCTAGTGGACATGCCAGTCTCAACAAACAAACCTACCAGTGCCTTTTCTCGTTTCTTGTGTTCATTTGAATTTGTTGGCCAAACCTCAGATTTTTGAAAGCATAATGTCAGAGTCTGCAGCTGCTATTGAGTTTGAGAACTACTAGCACCCTCGTTGACTTTATCATTACCGATGGTAGTCTTACTTTACGAATCTTTCGACATGAAGGATTTGTATTCTTCACGATGGTTGGTTTGCAAATATACTTTAAGATTTGTGGGATTTTCCCCCTTAATTTCAACACCACAAAGTGTATTATTCAGCGTGACAATGCATTAGCTTTTTCCTGTTTCAGAATTAAATTCGAAATAGTCCGAAAAATCGAAAGTGTTTTTTAACTGATAGTTTCAGTTTCAATTTTACGAAAATAACCTTGCTTCAGAATCAGCTTTATGCACAGCCGGCCTTGTAACTCAGTCCTCCGAAAAATGCGCAGCACACAGTCGAATATTGTATTTGTCGTGTTCTGGAACAGTGTTGCAAATAAAGCTTAAACACTGTTTTCTAAGTGTCCTATTTTGGAAGGCCAAACCAAGTAGTTTGGCTTTCGCAACGAAAAACACAGCGTCTCCACGACATAGTGGCGCCGGCGGCAACAATAACACAGCGGGAGTAAAAGTTACGCCTTCTTTCTTTGCGTATACGTCGTTTGGGCAGTGTTATGAAACTCTGCCCCCACACACTGACGTAGATTTGTGGAGGTGTGTTTGAACGAAGCGTTTTAGGAAGGCGTGGCTGAGCCTTAAATTTATAAAGAATATCTCTTTGAGACTTTGAGCTTTGTAACTCTGCAGATCTTATACATGCACTAACAGCTACATAACACACTAAAGAAAAAGGAAAACAAGAAATCATTTCATATGACCCCTTTAAGTGTTTCCCATTATGTCTGCCGTATGCATCAGACGTTCAGCCAATGGTCCGTAGGCGTGGGGGGAATGATTTGACTCAGCTTCATAATTCTAGATTTGGTTGAAGTTATTTTTAAAGCAGTTTTTCCTTTTTCACAAAACTTTCTTTGAGGTCAAACAATAATTGGCAGAACTTTGACCTGAATTATACTATATGCTTTGCATTTAATTAGTCAGCATACAGAATCCATTATCTAGATTTTATGTAATCTTATGTAAATACAATACACTGTGTTTTATTAGCAGTGATTAGCTATTAGATCGATTGAATTTTAGGTTTTATACATAAAATGAATTATGACTACAGGCAAAAAATCTAAGCATTTAACAATTATACACGATAAACCTGAAATGTATGATGGCTCCGCTACCATCAACTGAAACAAACACTTGACATGTCAGTGATGTTAGGTTTCTTTGGTTTTTGAGAGTGTGGCAGCGTTTGCTGTGTCAGCTGTGGCCTCGCAGTGGGAGAGGACCGGCAAACCCTTCAACCCTCTGCTGGGAGAAACCTATGAGCTGCTCAGGTCAGTGTCTGCTCACTTATGAGCTGCTCAGGTCAGTGTCTGCTCACTTATGAGCTGATCATGTCAGTGTTTCCAATGAGCTGATCACGCCAGTGTTTCTTCTCATCAGAGAGGACCTGGGGTTCAGGTGGATCTCTGAGCAGGTCAGTCATCATCCACCGGTCAGTGCCTTCCACGCCGAGGGCATAAAGAACGACTTCATGTTTCATGGCTCCATTTATCCCAAACTCAAGTTCTGGGGAAAGAGTGTGGAGGCCGAACCTCGTGGTATCATCACCCTAGAGCTTCCCGTGTGAGTGATTTCCAGCCTTAACACGTGTGCACCAGTAAACATAAGGAACTTGTCATGTTCACACAGACATAAACATTTATTAAAAAGCTTTATCACTGACATATTTATCTCTAATTTGTTGTTCCGCAGTCACAATGAAGCCTACACCTGGACCAACCCTACCTGCTGTGTTCATAACATTATCATGGGACAACTGTGGATTGAGCAATATGGAAATGTTGAAATTATTAATCATAAGTAAGAGCAAATATCATGAAAGTATCATTAGGTGTAAATTAGATAAGTGTTGCTTTATTAAGGTTTGAGAGGAACAATGAAAGAGTCTAACTACTGCAGAAGACAAACACACAAATGATTTCACTGTGCTTTTTGTTAACAGAACTGGGGAAAGATGTTGTTTGACTTTCAAGTCGTGTGGCATGTTTGGAAAAGAGTTGCATAAAGTGGAAGGATACATACTTGATAAAAGGTATGCAAACACAACTTAAATGTCACAGAGCCTCTAAATTGGCTTATTCAGTTGTGCATGACTGTAGTGTGGTAAATACAATATGTGATGTTCTTAAAACAGCTCTGATCCACTAATTTCATTGGATATGAGGTGTTCCAAGAGGGTTGATATTTCATATAACAGCATTTGAGCATTTCGCTTTTTGTATCACTTTATATTCACAAAATAGGCCATTTTGGGTCAAAATTATTGTGAATTAAAATGTGTTAGTTCACCCAAAAATGAAAATTCGGTCATCATTTACTCACCCTCATGTCGTTCCAAACCCATAAGATTTTCGTTTTTCTTCAGAACACAAATAAAGAAATTTTTGATTAAATCTTTGTCCCTCCATTGACAGCTACACCACTACCACTTCTACGCTTCAAAAAATGTATTGTGTTACGCAGCTCGTTTGAGTTTCCACAAAGACCAGTGAGGTTTGTTCTCTCGTGTCAAGTATCTGCTAACTCTTTATTGTGATGCTCCTCCAACAGACATTCAACTGACTAATACACAATTGATCTCACAAGGGGATTGTTTAGGGCTCCTTGTCATTAGAAAGTTTGAAAACCCCTGATAAAGAAAATATTGGCTATAATTGACTGTACAAAAACACGTTATTGTTGTCCCAAACCATGTCAGTGTAACTGCTTAATTTATTTCATACTATATTATATTACTGTAAAGAACTGAACTGTCCTACAGAATATTTTGTTAATATAATTTCTTGGTAAGGAGTGGTCCTCGAATCTGGAACAAAATTCCCAGGTAACCTAAATTGTGCTACATTTAGTGACTTCTTAATTAACTGTTTGTTTTTAAAAAATATGATTTAATACCACTAAGTTACATCAAGGGTCAAATAACATAGAAATGGCACATTAAAATTAAAAGTTACAACTGCATGATGAAACCATTTTTTGTGTGTGTGTTCACATACGCTGCACAGGTCTGGTATAAAGAACGTTTTTTCCCAGGTGGCGAATAGTGTCCGCCCAATAGAGAAACGTTCGTTCAGCAAGAAAAAAAAATTGAGGGAACATTGATCTTACCTCGCACTCTTTGATTGTTAAAATCAAATGTTGAGCAGAAATGTGCGCTCAGATTCTGTGAACAGTAAGGCTCGCCCTCTTGGTTTGATTGGCCAGTTCAGTCGTTTTGACGTTGACGAGCGCTGTTAGACGCCTGAGACCGACCCCTGGTGGTTACGGCCCGGGTACAGAAGATGCTATACTGTATGTGACAGTCATACTGATATTCAGTACAAATGTTAGGGGAATGCAGAGACAATAGGAACCCAAGAGCAGATCAATTGAGAACGGATTTATTGTCCAAAAAGGTTGAATGAAAACAATACAAAACATAAAATAAAAGGTAGCCGAGCTACCAAGCAAGAGGGCGAGACAGAGGCGAAATCCAGTAGGCAGGCTGGGGTCAAAAACCAGTAGCGGGCAACAGTTCCTGAGGGAAAGGCCAAGGCAATAGTCCAGGACGAGAGCAGAGAGTCAAAAACCAGGTGAGCAAGCTGAGTTGAGAAAGGGAACAGGAACTAGGCAAATAAACAACAAAACAGGGTTAAATAAACAGACAAGGCTTTTAAGGTCTTTCAGACAAGGGGACAGTAGTGAAGCGGACGGAAACCAAGACACACTGACAGAGAACCAAAGAAAGAGAGAAGCATAAGTAGTGGAGAAAATCAGTGCAGAAAATGGGAAACAGGTGTGTAAGCAATGAGAGTGAGAGCACTGATTGGGATAGGATTCAGCTGAGATGGTAGAGTGAGGTGAACAGACAGTCAAGACACAAGCACAGCAGAAAGGCTGAAGATCAAACCAGAGTCCTGACAGTACCCCCCGCCCCAGGAACGCCACCAGGCTTCCCAAGACGAGGGGCAGATCGACGGTATTCCTCAATAAGAGAACGGTCCAGAATGTCCCGGGTCGGGACCCAACATCTCTCCTCCGGACCGTACCCTTCCCAATCGACCAGGTACTGGTATCCTCTGCCCCGACGCCTGGAGTCCAGAATCTTTCTAACTGTAAAGGCGGGGGCACCCTCAACCATCAAGGGGGGGGGGAGGGGAGGGGTTAGAAGGGATGGGGGAAGACGAAGAGAGGGAACGAATAAAAGGTTTGACACAAGACACATGAAACACCGGGTGCACTCGACGAAGGGGATGCGGGAGCTGAAGCCGAACTGCCACCGGGCTGATCACCTTAACAATGGGGTATGGCCCAATGAACCGCGGTGCCAACTTCTTGGATGGCACCTTAAGGGGCAGGTCCTTGGTGGAGAGCCACACCTTTTGTCCACAAACGTACCTGGGTGCCTCAGCCCGACGGCGGTCCGCCAATCTCTTGGTGCGGTCCCTAGTTCTTAGAAGTGCTTCCCTGGCCCTCCTCCAGGTTCGCCGGCATCGATTGATAAATGCCTGAACTGAGGGAACCGCAGCTTCGGGACCCTGTGAAGGAAACAGAGGAGGTTGATACCCAAGACAGCAAGAAAATGGGGATAACCCAGTAGACGACACCGGCAAGGTATTGTGAGCATACTCAACCCACTTAAGCTGCTGGCACCAGGAAGAAGGGTTATGAGAGGCCAGACATCTGAGAGCCCTCCCGAGGTCCTGGTTCGCTCGCTCGGTCTGGCCGTTGGTCTGTGGATGGAATCCTGACGACAAACTAGCAGTAGCGCCAATCTGTCGACAGAACTCCCTCCAAAAGTGGGAGACGAACTGGGGCCCCCGGTCGGAGATCACGTCCTCCGGAAGACCGTGGATCCGAAAGACGTGGTCGACGACCTTCTGGGCGGTCTCCTTGGCTGAGGGGAGTTTGGGAAGGGGAATGAAGTGGACCGCCTTGGAAAAGCGATCCACTACGGTAAGGACAACCGTATTGCCACTGGACTCTGGTAACCCTGACACAAAGTCCAGTGCAATGTGGGACCAGGGACGGGAGTGAACGGGAAGGGGTTGAAGCAAACCAGCGGGTACAGAATTAGAGGACTTGTTTTGAGCACAGACCGAGCAAGCGACTACAAAACCACGGACATCCCCCCCCATGCCCGGCCACCAGAAACGCTGGCGGATTGAAGCCAATGTTCTCTTCACTCCCGGGTGGCAGACCAGCCTGGACGAGTGGCCCCACTGTAGAACCCCCGGCCAAACCGACTCCGGAACAAACAGCAGACCCGCCGGGACTCTCTCCGGTACCTCTGCCCCCGACTGGGACTCCCTGACATGTCTCTCGATGTCCCAGGTGACGGACCCCACCACACGACCTGGAGGAAGGATGGTGTCTGGCGGGGTTGCGTCCTCCGGGACAGGAAACTGACGAGAGAGTGCGTCAGGCTTGACGTTTTTGGAACCTGGCCGGTAAGACAGGGTAAAATTAAAGCGACCGAAGAAAAGTGCCCAGCGAGCCTGCCTGGAATTCAACCGTTTGGCGGTTTGGATATACTCCAAGTTCCGGTGATCGGTCCAAACCAGAAAAGGCTCCGCCGCACCCTCCAACCAGTGGCGCCACTCCCCCAAAGCCAGCCGCACTGCCAATAACTCACGATTGCCGATGACGTAGTTCCGTTCTGTGGGAGACAATCGGTGAGAGAAATATGCACAAGGGTGCAATTTGTTGTCAAGGGAAGATCGCTGGGAAAGAACCGCTCCGACACCTGTCTCTGATGCATCAACCTCCACAATGAACTGCCGGGTAGGGTCTGGAGTAATTAATATAGGTGCAGATGAAAACCTCTTCTTGAGTTCCTCAAAGGCCGCCTGGGCGGACGAGGACCAGCAAAACGGTGTCCTTGTGGAGGTTAATGCAGTCAGAGGGGCCGCCACCTGGCCAAAATTATGGATAAACCGCCTGTAGAAATTAGCAAACCCGATAAAACTCTGTAGTGATTTTCGGTTGCCAGGTGTGGGCCAGTCGGAAACGGCTCTTACCTTAGCAGGATCCACGCGAATACCCTCCACCGAGACGATGTGTCCCAAGAACGGAACCGACTGGTTGTGGAAGGAACACTTCTCCGCCTTAGCAAACAGTTGGTTCTCCAGCAGACGCTGCAGCACCCGTCTGACGTGCTGAATGTGTACCTGGAGTGAACGAGAAAAGATCAAGATGTCATCCAGATACACAAAGACAAACTTGTTGATCATGTCCCTCAGCACGTCGTTGACGAGCGCCTGGAAGACGGCAGGAGCGTTCGTCAGACCGAAGGGAAGAACCCGGTACTCGAAGTGCCCCGTGGGGGTGTTAAAGGCAGTCTTCCATTCGTCCCCCTCCCTGATTCGAACCAAATGGTATGCGTTGCGGAGGTCCAGCCTAGTGAAGTACCTTGCCCCCTGCAGGATCTCGAAGGCCGACGACATCAACGGCAGTGGGTACCTGTTTTTAATGGTGATGTCGTTCAGCCCCCGATAATCAATGCAGGGGCGCAAGGAACCATCCTTCTTCTTCACAAAGAAGAACCCCGCCCCCGCCGGAGAGGAAGAAGGACGAATAATGTCGGCTGCCAGAGACTCTGATAGATATTTCTCCATGGCCGCCCGTTCGGGGGCGGACAAGGAGAACAACCGTCCCTTAGGCGGAGAAGTGCCAGGAAGAAGGTTGATGGCGCAATCATAGGGACGGTGCGGAGGAAGAGATGCGGCCCGGGAGTGGCTGAAGACCGCCCTCAGATCGTGGTAGACCTCAGGAACTCTGGAAAGATCGACCGGCCTCTCCTGTAACACAGGAACAGAAGAGACAGGAGACAAGGCAGACACAAGACAATGGGCATGGCAATGTGGACTCCATGATAAGATAGTGCTCTAAGACCAGTTTATGTGAGGATTGTGAGTGGTTAACCAGGGGTGACCAAGGATCACAGGAGTGAGGGGTGAGTGACAAACAAAAAACACTATTTCTTCTCTGTGATTGCCAGAAGTGATAAGCTCTAAAGGAACAGAGGTCTGAGAAATAGTGGTCAGTTCCCTGCCATCTAAGGCGAGAGCAGTAAGGATAGGAGAAAGAGACTGAAAAGAAATGCCTCTTTTTGAGGCCCAAGAAAAATCTATAAAATTTCCTTCGGCTCCCGAATCAATGAGGGCAGAGAGTTGGTGAACAGCACCTTAATGAATGATTGAGGCTGGGAGCACGGAGCGGGAACCAGTGGGTGGGGTGGTGGAAGTAGCGCTCGCCAGTATCCCCACGTTTACTGGCGAGTGTTGGCTTTTGCCGGACAGGAAGAAGCAAAATGTCCGGGTCGACCACAGTAAAGGCATAGTCCCTTAGACAGACGTTTCTGTCTCTCCTCTGCAGACAAACGGTACCTGCCCAACTGCATAGCTTCCGGAGCGGGAGGGTGGTCTGGAGTAGCAGACGTGGAGGAGCTAGGCGCGAGGTCGACTAATGACGGAGATGGGGGAAACCGAGCTCTCCTTCGAAGATCCCGACGGTTGTCCAAGCGGATGGCCAGGTCAACAAGTTCATCCAGGTGTTCAGGAAGTTCGTGAGCATATACCTCATCCTTTATGTCGTCCTCCAGCGCCTCCGTAAACCTGGCCACCAGCGCTGCTTCATTCCACATACTTGAAGCTGCAAGGGTGCGGAATTCGATGGCGAAATCCGCCACTGAGCGTCTCCCCTGACGCAGAGCTGCCAACAGCTGCGACGCCTCCTTACCGAGCGCTGAGCGATCGAATATCTTGACAAATTCTGCCTTGAAGCTGAGAAAGTCCTCGCAGCATGCTGCCTCTGCAGCCCAGACGGAAGTGGCCCGTTCCCGGGCCCGACCGGCGAGAAGGGAGATGACAAACGCCACTCTGGCAGTGTCTGAGGCATAAGTGAGAGGTTGCAGGGAAAAAATGACCTCACACTGAATCATGAATGGACGACACATTGTAGGCTCACCGGAATAAATGGGAGGATTGTTGATGCGTGGTTCAGGAGTGACAAGAGGGCGTTCGGTGACAGGTGATACATGGTTTCGATCAATCTGCATCCGGCGAATAGTCTCCGTAAGTTCAGTGACCTGATGACCAGCGAGTCCATGGTTTGATGAGCGGCCACCAGCTCTCCTTGATGCTGTCCCAGTAGCGCACCCTGGGCCTCCACAGCTGAGCGTAGCTGAGATTGATCTGCTGAGTCCATCCTGGTCAGTGTGTAATGTTAGGGGAATGCAGAGACAATAGGAACCCAAGAGCAGATCAATTGAGAACGGATTTATTGTCCAAAAAGGTTGAATGAAAACAATACAAAACATAAAATAAAAGGTAGCCGAGCTACCAAGCAAGAGGGCGAGACAGAGGCGAAATCCAGTAGGCAGGCTGGGGTCAAAAACCAGTAGCGGGCAACAGTTCCTGAGGGAAAGGCCAAGGCAATAGTCCAGGACGAGAGCAGGGGGTCAAAAACCAGGTGAGCAAGCTGAGTTGAGAAAGGGAACAGGAACTAGGCAAATAAACAACAAAACAGGGTTAAATAAACAGACAAGGCTTTTAAGGTCTTTCAGACAAGGGGACAGTAGTGAAGCGGACGGAAACCAAGACACACTGACAGAGAACCAAAGAAAGAGAGAAGCATAAGTAGTGGAGAAAATCAGTGCAGAAAATGGGAAACAGGTGTGTAAGCAATGAGAGTGAGAGCACTGATTGGGATAGGATTCAGCTGAGATGGTAGAGTGAGGTGAACAGACAGTCAAGACACAAGCACAGCAGAAAGGCTGAAGATCAAACCAGAGTCCTGACAACAATAGCATGATTGCAAGTGATGCATTTACATTACATTTGCTGTGGACTGATATTGGACTGAACTTTTATATGAAATTTGTTCTTGAAAAAAGCTACACCTACCTAACAATTGGTCAAAAGGAAAATCTTTGACAAACAAAAGTGTGTACATTAATGAAGAGGCGCACACAGTAAGCTGTCTGTAATACGATCGTTTTCTTTATGTCTGTCCAGTAAAAAAAAGGTCTGTGCTCTCTATGGCAAGTGGACGGAGTGCTTGTATTCTGTGGATCCAGCGACGTTTGATGCTCACAGGAAGTCTGACGTGAAGCGTTCTGACAGGAAGGGAAGTACACAGGTGACTGCCGAGATAATGACACGAATATTGATTTGTTTTACATTTTTATGTAATATCTTGTCGAACATAAATATGCATTTTAAACCATCAGAGCAGAAATTGACTTGGTGTTAATAACATTAATCAAATGTCTAATGTAAAGTGTTTTACAAATGTTGCAGAGTAATAATGCGGAAGAGGAGCCGGATGAAATGCCTCCTCCAGAGACCGAGACTGTGCAGGTCATTCCAGGAAGTGAGCTCATCTGGAGGATATCACCGCGGCCAGACAACTCGGGAAAAGTATGCAGAATATTTCACTATTTGTCATTATGTGGCCTTTTTTTCAAATTATGCGGCTATAATTTGGGCTTGAGATGAGCGCAAGTACTCTGAAGTGACTGCAATGATCGGTCATGATCATATGTGATGTGACTTTTTACTGAATTAGATACAATATATTTTCCGAAATCGAATCATATTTCTCATTCTCTGAGATCCCTTCCTGTTTATAGTCCGAGGGCTTTTGTATTAGCTATGGGGCACAGCTATATTTATGTGTAAATTAACATTTGTTTCATTGTCCATGGGCCATCTTTTCCACCCTGTAACTGTAATGGTATGTTGTGGGAAGAAGCACGAAGAAGAAGAATCAGGATCCCTATCGGTCAGTCACTACAACGTAGGTCAGACTACTAGGAATATCGCTAGAGAGGCCAATCTACTTCGAGTGAAACTAAAACAAGCCAATGCACATTGGCGTGCAATCATTTGCATCAGCTGTGCAACTCTGAGCGCGGGTATTTAACGAGCAGCTGTTGTGATTACACACTAGCTTTTTGCTTCGGTGCCAAACACTTCATGCTTAATCTACAGAGTGTGACTCTACGAGCCTCTTCGTTGGATCTCTCGGGTGAGGGCGTTACAGCACGGCAGCGCGAGCAGTCTTGTCCTCTCTCTTCTGTCTTTGTCTTTTTGTTTTGTGTTTTTTTTTTTACCAAATTCAAAAAGCTGTTTTAACAGCTGGTAAGGTGCGCAGTTCAGCGCTCAAAGGCTGTTCTCACAGCCGGTAAGACCTGCCAGCGAGAGAGAGAGAGACGGCGCACAGACGGGTGCACATTCCCGTCTGTGTTCGCGGTGACTGTTCCCCTGCATGCTTCAGCACTAATGCGAGTAGTCCCTAAAAGACCAAACACAGATAGAGAGCGTCTTTTTAAAGATGACATTCTATCTGTGTGTTTCTGGATGCGGTCCTTACCTGGGCTCACAGGATGGTCACAAACGCTGCCTCGTGTGTCTGGGCATTAAACATGCTGAGGCAGCGTTTGTGGATGAGTCATGTACCCATTGTGGGAAGATGACCATCGCGGAGCTACGGTCGCGACTCTTGTTCTTGCAAAGGGGCCGTGCCTCTGCCTCGATCCAATCCTCCTCAGAGGGTTGCTTCGGGCGGTGGCGCGGGTGACCTGAGGATTACGGTGAGTGCGTCTCCTTCGGGGAACCAACCCCCTAGGAGCCCTCACCCCTCTCATGCTCCGCAGCCAGTTGAGCCTCCATTGGAGAGAGCTGGACCATCCTCAAGGTGTGTACCGGTTGTCTCCTTTGGGGCTCCCAGTGAAGACCAGATGTCGGTCGCTGCATCGGAGGGTGGGTCAGACCTCTCTGCGGATGACGACTCGGCACTGCTGCCTCCTTCGGGGGTGCCAGCGGTGCCTGAGACGGACCCGGAGATGATGGCCATGCTCTCCCGGGCCGCCAACGGGGTCGGGCTCGTTTGGAATCCTCAACCGTGTCCCGAACCCTCGAGCTTGGACGATTGGTATCTCGGGGTGGCGCGTGCTGGTTCTCAGCAACCCACCCCAGTGCCTTTCTTCCCCTGGCACCTTTTACTGCCAGAAACCGTTCCGGTGGCTCCTCCCCCCTCACCACCCTTGATGGCGGGGCGGCTAAGGGATACGCGCGCATCCCGCCAGTGGAACGGGCCGTGGCAATGCAACTGTGCCCTAACTCCACTTGGCGTGGAGAACCGTGTCTCCCTTCCCGGGCCTTAGGCTTACAAGGCTTACAAGGCCTGTGGGGAAGCTGCCTCTGCCATGCACGCCATGGCTTTGCTGCAGGTCCATCGGGCCAAGGCACTGAAGGACGTGCATGAGGGTGGTCACGATCCCCAAGTTCTTCAGGAACTTCGTAACGCGACGGACCTCGCGCTTCGTGCGACGAAGGTGACCGCGCGGTCGGTGGGTCATGCGATGTCCACCCTGGTGGTCCAGGAACGCCATCTCTGGCTGTGTCTGGCTGACATGAGGGAGTCTGACAAACTCCGGTTTTTCAACTCCCCTGTGTCCCAGACCGGCCTCTTCGGCGACGCGGTCGAGAACTTTGCCCAGCAGTTCTCGGCTGTACAAAAGCAGACGGAGGCCATCAGACACATCCTGCTGCGGCGGCCAGCTGCTGCCTCAACCCCACCGCCTGCGGCACCTCAGTCTGCTCGTCGCCGAGGGCGTCCTCCTGCGTCTGCCCCTGCTCCGGCACCGCAGCAGCAGCCTCCACCTAAGCGGCGCCGTAGAGCCAGTCGCAGGCAGGGCGCCCCGCCTGGGAGATGGAAGGGACTGCTCTCCGGGAGACGATAACCGCATCGCTCCCTCCCCCGGAAGAGGGCCGGGTGGAAAATCTTTTGTTTCGTTCTGTTTGTGTTCCGCCGCTGGCCTCAAAACCAGCGGTACCCAAATTTTCAATAAAAGAGCAGTTTCTACCATCTCTGGGTCAGAAGAGGACCCGGAGAGCAATGGGGGGACAGAATCCTCACCACTCTCATCCGCCTCCTCTGTCGCCAGTGAGCAGCAGTGTGCAGTTCGAGAACGCCACCGAGTCGCCTCCTGCACCTCCTGCCCTGTGGAACCAGGTAAGTGCTGCACAGCACACACAGACCCCGCTACGGGCCGCCTCCCAGAGAGAGCCTCCCAAGCCGCGTCCCTGTGTTCCACCTCGCTGCCCCACTCCGGGTACGCCTACGGTCCCTTTGGTCCCGCTTGCACGGTCTCTGAGAGCCTGGTTAGCGCTCCCCAGTCCGTCTCGCTGGCTCATTCGAACCATCAGGCTTGGCTATGCGATTCAGTTCACCCGGCGTCCCCCCAAGTTTCGGGCCATCCACTCCACTACAGTGAGAGCAGCCGATGCCCATGTCTTGCGTGCGGAGATCGCAGTCCTACTGGCAAAAGACGCGATAGAGCCGGTCCCTCCAGCCGATATGAGGTCAGGGCACTACAGTCCCTACTTCATTGTACCCAAGAAAGGTGGTGGGTTACGACCGATCTTGGATCTGCGGGTTTTGAATCGGAGCCTCCACAAGCTACCTCAGTCTGCTCGTCGCCGAGGGCGTCCTCCTGCGTCTGCCCCTGCTCCGGCACCGCAGCAGCAGCTGCGGTGCCGGAGCAGGGGTGACCGATCTTGGATCTGCGAGTTTTGAATCGGAGCCTCCACAAGCTACCGTTCAAAATGCTCACGCAGAGATGCATTTTCGGATGCATCTGTCCCCAAGATTGGTTTGCAGCAATTGACCTGAAGGACGCGTACTTTCATGCCTCGATTCTTCCTCGACACAGGCCGTTTCTGCGCTTTGCGTTCGAGGGTCGAGCATATCAGTACAAGGTCCAGCCCTTCGGGCTGTCCCTGTCTCCCCGTGTCTTCACGAAAGTCACGGAGGGGGCCCTTGTTCCCATGAGAGAACAGGGTGTTCGCCTCCTCAACTATCTCGACGACTGGCTCATACTAGCACACTCTCGAGATCAGTTATGCGAACACAGGGACCTCGTGCTCACGCACCTCAGCCAGTTGGGCCTTCAGGTCAACTGGGAAAAGAGCAAACTCGCCCCTGTGCAGAGAATCTCTTTTCTCGGTATGGAGTTGGATTCGGTCGCACAGACAGCGCGCCTCACAGAGCAACGCGCTCAGTCGGTGCTGAACTGCTTGAACACGTTCAAAGGCAGGACGGCGTCCCACTGAAATTTTTTCAGAGGCTCCTGGGGCATATGGCAGCGGCAGCAGCAGTAACTCCGCTCGGCTTGCTTCATGTGAGACCGCTTCAGCACTGGCTTCACGGCCGAGTCCCGAGATGGGCGTGGCATCACGGTACTCACCGAGTGGCAATCACACCGGCCTGCCGCCAGACCTTCAGCCCGTGGTCAGACCTCTTGTTCCTTCGGGCAGGAGTCCCCTTGGAACAGGTCTCCAGGCATGCTGTGGTATTCACAGATGCCTCCGCCACCGGCTGGGGTGCCACGTACAACGGGCATGCAGTGTCAGGTGTGTGGACGGCTCCCCAACTGCATTGGCACATCAATTGCCTCGAGTTGCTAGCAGTACATCTCGCTCTGAGCCGCTTGAAAAGGCCGCTACAGGGCAGGGACGTACTGGTCCGTACGGACAACACAGCGACCGTTGCGTACATCAACCGACAAGGTGGTCTACGCACCCGTCGCATGTCGCAACTCGCCCGCCATCTCCTCCTCTGGAGTCAGAAGCATCTGAGGTCGCTTCGAGCCATGTATGTCCCTGGTGTGCTCAACCATGTGTCCGACGAGCTATCACGAGCTGTGCTTCCGGGAGAATGGCGACTCCACCTCCAGGTGGTTCAGCTGATCTGGAGAGAGTTCGGAGAGGCTCAGGTAGACCTGTTTGCCTCTTCAGAGACCTCCCACTGCCAGCTGTTTTACTCCCTGACCGAGGGAACACTCGGCACGGACGCACTGGCACACAGCTGGCCCCGGGGCCTCCGCAAATGTGCATTTCCCCCAGTGAGCCTACTTGCACAGACACTGTGCAAAGTCAGGGAGGACGAGGAGCAGGTCCTTCTGGTGGCTCCCTATTGGCCCACCCGGACTTGGTTCCCAGAACTCATGCTCCTTGTGACTGTCCCTCCCTGGCCCATTCCTCTGAGGAAGGATCTTCTGACTCAGAGACGGGGCACCCTATGGCACCTGCGTCCAGACCTCTGGAAACTCCATGTCTGGTCCCTGGACGGGACGCGGAGGTTCTAGGTGACTTGCCCCCTGAGGTACTTAACACCATCACTTCAGCACGGGCGCCGTCCACGAGACGTGTTTACGCCCTGAAGTGGAACCTGTTCGTCGACTGTTCTTCTCGCCGAGAAGACCCCCGAAGATGTTCGATAGGGTCTGTGCTTTCCTTCATGCAGCAAGGGTTGGAGCGAAGGCTGTCTCCCTCCACCCTCAAAGTACATGCTGCCGCTATTTCAGCTTATCACGACCACATAGATGGCAACACAGTGGGGAAGCACAACCTGGTCGTCAGGTTTCTTAGGGGGTGAGACGATTAAATCCTCCTCGACCCCCCCTCTTGGGACCTTTCCCTTGTGCTTCGAGCACTTCAGGATGTTCCCTTTGAGCCTCTGCAGTCAGTAGACTTAAAGCTTCTTTCCATGAAGACTTTGCTACTGGTTGCACTGGCCTCTGTCAAGAGGGTAGGAGACCTGCACGCATTTTCGGTCGACAAATCGTGCCTAGAGTTCGGGCCGGGTGACAACCATGTGGTACTAAGACCCCGGCTTGGCTATGTGCCCAAGGTTCCTACCACTCCCTTCAAAAACCAGGTAGTGAACCTGCAAGCGCTGCCTTTGGAGGAGGCAGACCCAGTCCTGGCTTTGCTTTTTCCCGTTTGCGCTCTGCGTATGTGCGTGGACAGAACTCAAAGCGTCAGGACCTCAGACCAGCTCTTTGTCTGTTATGGAGGCCAGCAGAGGGGAAAGGCTGTCTCCAAGCAGAGAATGGCCCACTGGATAGTAGATGCCATCGCCTTGGCTTACCAAGCACAAGGCGTGCCCTGCCCGCTCAGGTTGCATGCACACTCCACGAGAGGCGTTGCATCCTCCTGGGCGCTGGCACGTGGCTCCTTGCTAACAGATATCTGTAGAGCTGCGGGCTGGGCGACACCTAACACGTTCGCTAGATATTATAGCCTACGTGTAGAGCCGGTCTCCTCCCGTGTTCTCACCCTAAACGGGTAGAAGCACCGAGAGGCCCGGCTCTGTCGGCTTGCTGCACCCTACTGTGCACCCTTATTGCTCCAGAGTGAAAACCTGTCGAGTCCTCCAAAACCCCTCGGCCCGGACATGGCGGAGCGTCCGGTGCCAGGCCTTTATCCGCTGAATCCTTGAGAGCGGGATCTGGGCTGGGTTCCATATGTGTGACCCTACGGGGATCCCATATGTGTATATTCTTCACGGCTGCTCCTAAGACGGAAGCCCGTGTCTTTCCCTTAGGCTAAGTCTCCCATTATTCATATGCAGTACAACCTTCGGGTTAGTCCATATGTATTTTCCACATAACTCTTTGAAGAAGTGGCTTCCTCAGCGTTCTCCTTCCTAATTAGAAAGGGCACGCTTTCCCAGTGTTATCCAATAATCTCACTGTATGGGTTATTACGGAACAACAGTGACAGATACACTCTGTGTAAGCCTCCTCCTATCGTCCTTCCAGGCAAGAAGGTGTAGAGGCTTGCACTGGGCGCTGGATGGGCTGCAGCAACTGTGGCGCTTTGGTAGGGATTCCTATTGGTCAGTCTGACCTACGTTGTAGTGACTGACCGATAGGGAACGTCTCGGTTACATATAGTAACAAGTGTTACGCCCAGTGGCTCAAAAGGGACGCAACAAAATTGGGACACCCGAGAAAGCCAAACTTTTAAAGCAAGTTATTTATTAACAAAGGGAAAACTGTACAAAAACTGTGTAATGTAGCAGTCAGGCGTCAGTAGTGTCATGCTAGATGAATGCATGGGAATGTAATGTGCTGTGGCGTCATGGTGCATGCAAAAAAGAAACATAACCAAGCAAATATCAAAAGCTATCAAATCAAATAGGCCCCGCATATCTGCCGTCCGTCTGGCTTCTTTTAAAGTTGAAAAGGGAAGTTGGCAGCAGGTGTCACTGATGTTGTCATGTGGAGAGCTGAGTAATCGTCCAACGCTGGCGAAAACCCCATTAAAGACACAGGTCGCCACACAAGTCATATTAGTAACCGAGGGGACAAACGAGTGGCAGGAACAGAACAAAGGAAAACAGGAACCAATGAATACTAACTAAAAGTCTATGAAAGTGAAACAGAGTAAGTGTCTGCGGGGGGCTCAGGTGCTGTCAGTCACAGGGATGACGGGCTGGGCTTTGGGCTCGGCTGGGATCGGGGTTAGACGCTCTCCAGAGTTTGCCCTGATCCAACAATAACGTCTCGTCGTCCAGGGCTGTCTTTACAGCGAGCTGGCTGAAACGGAGGGCCAAGTCCGTAAGGAAAAGCCCTTCATGGCCTAAGCGACGAATCTCTCATCCATTTCTCGCTCCGGTCTTCTGTTGCGGTGCGTTGTGGGAAGAAGAATCAGGTTCAAACAGTAATTTAATTATGTGCACAGGTATTTCCAACAATAGTTAGGCAGGCTATATATATAACTGAAAAACCTTTGGTGAAGTGATGTAGAACTAATGCCATCGAGACTTGGAACTAATTTAAGTGTACAGTTGTTTAAAAAAAAAAACCCACTTAAGAATGACTGTCCGGCAGACATGATCAAGCTTTCAACAATGTTGAATATGCAAGAAGACAAAAAACAAGACATTGATTTTCTTATATGCATTTTACCAACCCCTGTTAATGCATAAAAAGAAACATCCCTGTTTTGTGACAAACTGTCATTCATTCCTCTTTGTCTTCTTTCTCTTTCTGTCAGTACTATGCCTTTACATCATTTGCTCTGCAGTTGAATGAGTTGGATGCAGAGATGGAGCGAGTTCTTCCACAAACAGACTGTCGTCTGAGACCTGATGTCAGAGCCCTGGAGAGCGGACACATAGGTACATTAACCTCTTGTTGTATTCATTCACCCATAAAAAAAACATCCAACCAATTTCTGAAAAGCAGGATGGTTGAGTTTAGGCTGACAGCTGTTGTGTCCTTATCCCTAAAGCCCATGTTGAGCCTGCAGTCAAGCTTCCTGTTTTACTGACCATTAAGGTGCTGCTTATATCATAAACATCACCCTCCTTCGTTTTGTACATTTGCATAATGCAAATAAAACTAATGACAAAAGCACATCAACAAAAGCACTAAACGTTCAACTAAAATTCAAATTAAATAACACTGGAACATTGGAATGTTGTTGCAGTGCTCATTCAATATTATATATCTTTAATATTAAACGCGTATCAACATCCTGCCCTCAATGATGGACGACCCATCATCAGTTCTTGTTCAACTTTATATATAATGACATAATGTAAAACTACTTAATTATATATTGCATTGCTGCTGTTTCCCCAGATGTAGCCAGTGCAGAGAAGAACAGACTGGAGGAAAAACAACGCATGGCTCGGAAAAATCGCTCCCAATCAAATGAAGAATGGAAAATAAGGTTTGAAATGTTAGCTATTCTGCTTTTTTCCATGTTCATCTTTCTTTAGTGTGTAATTTTGTTGCTGTTTCAGCATTAAAAAAGCTCTGCAAAGCACAAAGTCCCTCCAGCGGGAGTTCTTCTCTATATCAGTGTCAGTGTTTCTGAACTCCCTGAAACGCCTCTATTGTAGTCGGTAACGAACACGTCACAGTATTCCTCATTATAATAATTCATACGCAGAATAAAGGGGCGGGGCCTGGTTGAGTTAGTAGTGAGTTGAAACTGGTGGTTATGGTAGGAGGCGGGACATTTCCCAAACCCGCTCGAAGCGGTTGGACAATCACAACACACTGATCCAGCTGACCAATCAGAGCACAGTGTGCTTTTCAGAAGGAGGGGCTTCATAGAGACAGGAACTAAACAGAGCGTTACTGACAGACTGGGAAGAGAGGAGCCGCAACAATGGAGAATATTGGAAAAATAAGGTGTTTTATGAACATTCAAGCATGAAAACCTATTCTAGAAGAGCCCAAAAACAAAATCAAGACTTTGTAAAAGGGAATAATAGGTCCTCTTTAATAAATACACATCAGAGTACGTAACTGAGGCGTCTTCTTTGCGCTAAAACGACGACCCCTTTCCACTAAGTGAGGTTGATCTGCACAATAACCAGACTTGAACTCTTACTGAATTTATCCTGATCCATTAGTTTACGATCCAGTTATGCAGGTAAAGCAATGAATCTTCATTAGTTCTAGACAGGAGGAGATTCCACAGTAAATTGTTGTGGGTGAAGCCACCATTTGATACATAATGCCTGTGTAAAATTTAAGGACAAAACAATGATTATTGTCTTTATCACTATTTATCATAATGATAAACTAATTTAGCAGTATAATTCCAGTGTTTCAGAAGCTGACTCATTTCCCAGACCTCACACACCAAGCCGACGTCAAAGAACTAGCGGCGACTGCGTCTGGGACAAAAATCAGTAGTCTATATTCGCCATTCAAAAACTAGGACTAGGACACAACTAGGACACAAACCATAAACAAAGCAATGCTCACTACCATTTTGAATATCAATCACGCTAACACTTTCTTCATTCCTGGCGGCTCATGTTATGAAAATATTTGCGTATTGGAAAGCTCAAAATTATAACAGCCTTCTAAGTCTGTACCGTCTTGACTTCTTTGCTAGCTTTCATCACTTTCGCTTTTATTCTTATACACTGACTCACTAGAGCTGACATGTGGAACATACCTCGAAAACTACCCTGACAGACGCTCACCGACGGCCCAACGCCCAACAGTCGTCTTGGTGTGTCATGGTCCTAAAGAGTCTGTGTGTTTACAGACATCAGCAGTGATTACGATCTGCAGTAAAGTTACGAGTCTGTATGTAAAGTTATTGTGAGGAGGGAATGATGGCATTATCTACACCTTAACATCAAACTCATGTTCACACAGGTGGTTTCATCAGGGGCCGAGCCCTCACACCAAAGCTCCAGATTGGCTCTACAACGGCAGCTACTGGAACAGGAACTACTCACAACTGCCTGATATATACTGACCTCAAACCACTGCAGACATCTGGGGGAATGGAGTACATGTACAGTACAAACGCCCTACTGTTGAGGAAATGTGTTGAGTTTATATAAATGCATCATATATGGTGATAAACTGACAAAGATGATACAGGGCATCATGATGTAAGATACAATAGTGTTTCTTGTACAACTCCTTTAAATAGATTAGGATCTCATTAAAAGAGCAAATGATTCACATCCATTTCAAATGTTCCAGGGTGAGACATAAATATTCTGAAGATATATGATGTGAAAATACTCTAATCGACTTAGATTGAAATCGATTTAATGTGAATATTGAACATTTCTGCTGAAGAGTGTTTTGGAAGGACAAAAGAATCTGCTTGTGTTTGATTACGACGGTACTCTTCATTTACACCAAACTGTGTCATTTTAATGCAAGTTTTAAATATTCGTGTTTTGACATTAGCAGGTTTGCTGAAATTCAACGAACAGGAAATCATAACATGAATATACAGAATATATAGAAAAAACTATATATGAATATACAGAATATACACAAAAATGTCATCATGTAAACACGTTTATTCATTCCATGTAACACTTTTTACCATTGCTAAATAAAGGCTTTCTGAAACTTGTATAGTGCTGCCGTGAGCTAGTGGTTTGGAGGAGAATACAATTAAATGTGTAATGTAATTCCACCGGATCTCCCCATTCTTCTGGCTTCACCAACTTGACCTCGGTCTACAGGCCCGCCAGATCCATCCTGGGGTAAAAGTAAAAAAAAATGTGTATTAAAATGTGCGTAGGATTCTTACTAAAAGTGTACGTACGTCCAAAAGCCTAAAATTGCGTACGCCCCCAAAAATTCAGACTTATTAAACCGTCCGGACGCACAACTGTAAGCATTTTTCCCTTTATAATACTATCTCCAAAATGTGCATACGCATGTGTCAGAGTTTGCGTGGAGAACCGCACATTCTCCCTTCAAGTTTGTTTTTTAAAAATCACAACCTTTGCGTGGGAAGTGGCGTACGCACATTTTCAGCCCTGTTTTGTGCGTACGGCACGTTTATAAATGAGGCCCCTGGTCTTTGGAGTGACGGCCTCAGCCTTTGACTTCCGACCGTCCGGCTCCGCCTTGGCCCTATAATCAGTCGACTCCATCCTTTCAGCTCCACAGGGTCCCCCGTCTCCAGACCTGCTTAATTTATGAATGGAAAGGACTTCTCTTTGGTCCACATGCAGTATCTGTCTTTAACCCATCTTGAGACCAACTCCTAAGGTTTAGGTCCAGACCCCCATAGAAATTCTTTAGGAAGGTGTGGATGCAGTAGCAGTGGCTGACACAAAGTGGCTCCATCCAAATCCATTCATAACTGTTCGGAAACCTTAAAATTGATATAAAATACAAATCCATTTCACACTTACTGGGAAGGCTTTCCCCAAGGTTTAAGAGTGTGTTTATGGGAATTTTTGACCATTCTTCTAGAAGCGCATTTGTGAGGTCAGGCACTGATGATGGACGAGAAGGCCTGGCTCCCAGTCTCGCTCTAATTCATCCCAAAGCTGCTCTATCAGGTTGAGGTCAGGACTCTGTGCAGGGCACCAAACTTTACACTTGGCACAATGCAGTCAGGCAAGTACCGTTCTCCTGGCAACCGCCAAACCCAGACTCGTCCATCGGATTGCCAGACAGAGAAGCTCTACGCACTGTTCTTGAGCTAATCTGAAGGCCACACGAAGTTTGGAGGTCTGTAGCTATTGACTCTGCAGAAAGTTGTCGACTTCTGTGCACTGTGCTGTAAGGGGATTTACAGTCAAAGACCCAGAACCAGATGTGATGAATGAAGACCCGGAGTCAGAATTATAATAAATTGAAGAAAAGTTTTACTGAAGATAGTTTGCAGTTTCATCAGGCAGAAGTTCAGCTTCAAGACTCACAAGGAGTTCGTAGGCCGCCCCGCGTACAGTTACAAAGATCACAGTGATTTTACCCTTCACAAAGGTCTAAGCTACGTCATTGCTTCAGGCTTGAATGATTCTGATTAGCTAAGAAATAGATAAACAGTAATTTTCCACACATATACAGATAGACTGAAGCATATCTCCATCGATTAAGCGGCTGACACTCGGACCCTGAAGTTAGGCACGTCGTGACCTTCCAGGTCGCAGATTTGGGTTGCTGGGAGCCAGCCTGTCCCGAACAACAACTCAGTTAATAATGCCAGTGGTTCCTTAATAGGGTTGCCACCTATGTCTGATAAAAAACCGGGACATATTACCCGCCCAACTGGGGGGGGGGGGGGGGGGGGGAGAGAGGGGTGTTTGAAGACCAAAAATGAACGGTTGAACACCAAAATTTAAATTTTAACTGTAGGCCCGCCTATACACCAAATGCTGCGCAAAAATATATCCTATATTCGCGTATTTTCAGATTTTTGTTCATGATTTTTTTTTTGCCCCTTTAATAAGCATTTAAAATATTCACAAATTATATGGATAAAATGGTTTTCTAAGGCCAAACACTATATTTCTAAGGCTATAGATGATTTATAGGCTATTATAAATGTTTCTGAAAAAGTAACGAGGCATTTTAATTGTTTATTAATAAACTAGTATTTTCTAAATCGGCTGCAACATATCTCCATCTCCGCTGTAAAGCAGATGCGCCTTTAGAGAAGAAATTCATATGGATTACATAATCAGACTGTATTTTCTTTTGATTCGAATTTGTTCGTTTAAAAGTGGACATTTCAAGCTTTAGCCTATGGGCTTGTTTATTTTGAGACGCGATCCAGTTCACGGAGACCATAAAAGAGCGCGACTGATTGTTTTATTTTATTTTACAAAAGCACAACGTTTTCTTGTTATTGTGAGTTTACACAAATAAAAGTAGTTGCGAATGATGTATTGTTGCGAATGATGTTTATTTTCTATGACCAGAAATGATAGAGTAGTAGGCCTATTTTAAGTTGTTTCCACTGTTGATAGAAAAACGGAAGTGCTCGCGCCCGCGCCTCGTGCAGCAAGCGCGCTCCACACTCAGATTACATGCGCTTCTTATGCGCTTCTTGAGGCAGACTCGACTCACACTAGCACACACACGCAAGGTCTCTCGCTCTCTGCCGTTGCGCGCGCTACACAGTTTGAACATACATATTCACGTAGCCTTTCGAAAACCGGGACATTCAGTGTCCCGGGAGAGTGCGTAAATTTCCCGGGACAGGTTATTAAAAAGAAGGACAATCCCGGTAAAACCGGGACAGGTGGCAACCCTATTCCTTAACCTGTAACTAAGAAGACTAACACACACACCGACACACAGCTTTTCCAAGGTTGGATTTGGCCAGGCTCTAACTATAAACAGGAGAGTCCTCTCAAAACATCAAGATAATACGTTCTTTCTCTCAAGGAGAAAACACTATAGTCTAACTGGAAAGTAAGGCTTTAACAAAGAAATAGTCCCTTAAACTATTTGTTCCAATGACCCTTTTATGTTTTAACTAGTGCTGGGCAACGATTAAAATTTTTAATCGCGATTAATCGCATGATTTTCTTGCGATTAATCGCGATTAATCGCATTGTTACGCGCAAACTTTAATAATGAATTCTAAAGTAGTGTGTTACTCACTTTTGATTTAAATGTACTGCTATATACACAAAAGTGTAATAACATGTGGTTTGCAAAAACTTTAAACAAATAAGGTGCTTTTATACCAGCAGTATTCCCTTTACACAGCAATAAAATATTTATTGTAAATCTCAACTTAAACATTAATGTAATCAAATAAAAAATTAAAACAAAGCTATTTGCCACTGCCAGGGCATTACCTTTTATCTAGCTTGTTAAAACGAGTCCAGTTTTCTTGTTTTTTTTTCTTAACAGGTATCAACAGGTGTCTTTTAGCAGCAGAAACAGTCTATGTAGTCAGAGGTCATGAGATATAAGTCGACCAACGTTACTTCTCTGATAGTAGCTTAGGTTTGGTCATGCCATGGTTTCCCACGTACACTAAGATTGCATCAAACAGAGGTAAAGCCCAATTTATACTTCTGCGTCGAACTTACGTCGTCCCCCTCACGTGCACCTCTCCAAAAATGTAACAACGCGTCAATTCTACGCGTACCGCAGGCGCTGTGATTGCTAGAACCACTCCACGGGTTTCACATGCTCCCTCTGCATGTGTAATTGCGCGTCAACGCGGACAACGACGCAGAAGTAAAACCAACCAACGCGTAGTGTATAGCGTAAGTCCGACACAGAAGTATAAATCAGCCTAGAGTGAGGTGAATTGGTCGAGCACAAGGTGCAGCGACAAGCGGGTGCGTTCTGTGAAACTGTTGCGCTCATGCTCGCCTCACGCGCTCGCCTCACGCACGCGCCCGCCCGTTGCCGTAGTTGAATTGTCTAAAAGGACTTTGATTGTCTATAACTTTTTGTACACGACGCGCAGCACAAATCATTGGAAGAGATCTGATCCTCAGCTCGCTGTTTGTGAGTTTCCAATATTTAAATAGTTATCAGGACATCAACAGAAGGGAATTCACATTGCAGAGCATCCCCGCTAAACTACACGCAGACACATCAGGTAAAGTTATGTATAATTTTAATTTAAGTTAAAAAGACTACAGCTGTGTAGCGCACAGAAGCCGTTGCCATGGTTACTATCCATAGAGCGCCTGTCATTCACTTGCGGAGTGAACCTGCCAAAGCCTCTCCACTGCTGGTTTGGGTGGGTTATTTGCTGGCTGACCAACATCCCACCCCTCCTGTGATCATGGTTTGACTGTAGGCCTATGTCCTATTCAGAGCCAGTGTGCAACGGACTTTCAAAATAAAAAAAATAAAAAAACTGCGCGATAATAACGCGTTAACTTGCCCAGCCCTAGTTTTAACACATGTTGAAGACCTTTCTCAAACACAAAACGAGTCCATATTTCATTTCTGGAAGCCGGGCTAAATGAGCAATCACTGTAACTGTATTCCTGACATCAGCCCCAGTCACCTCTCAGATATCAAATACAGACATTAGAGAATACATGAAAAGAACATTTCAGATATCACACAGGTAACTTCAATAACTAAGTAAAATCTCACAAGCCTAGAAAAGTCATTCAACTCATTTGATATTTAGAAGGAAAAATATTGCTTAATACCTTGATTATAATCACTCATTAGATATACATTGAAGCAGCAGTGGATTG